CTGCCAAGATGCCCACACATGGATTGCTTATTTTGAAGAGTGGTTACATTAGTTTGTTGAGAACACTGCTGGGTATGTAAATGCCACCCCTACCAAACCAACATCCCTCTGAATATTGAACGGACAGTTGAAGGTCTGATCATACAATGATCACATCTGCAGTTGAAGGAGAGAGTGTGAAATGTGTAGGCAGCTCCACAGGGGTCCTACTGCTAAAATGCCCACACATGGGTTGCTTATTTTGAAGATTAGCTACTTTAGCCTGAGCTTGTTCAAATTACTGCTGGGTATGTAAATGCCACCCCTACCAAACCAACATCCTCCTGGATATTGAACGGACAGTTGAAGGTCTGATCATTCAATGACCACATCTGCACAGGATGTGGTTGTCATATAATAGCTTCTACTGTTCCCACGCAGACCAGAATTTGGCCCATTAATATATAAACTTGTACAAACATCACTGGCTTTATTAACTGATGGCAACCTCTTGTTTCCCAAAATGTGACAAATAAATAGATACAACACAAACATTGTATATGATTTTCATGCCTTCACAAGTCACCAAGCAAAATGACCAGAAGAAATGTTTAACACCGCTATCGTTAAAGAAAAGGCAATTGCCATTGCTAAATACTCAGAACCAAGAGTTTTAAGAAGGTGACATTTTGACATGACATAAATTTATAGCAGCCTGATCTCTGGGTTATTTATTAAATGCAACCCCTCGTGTTTGCATGCTATGATGTAAGCCCAGCAAATATCCTGGTGCAATGAACTGCCCCATCTGTACAGCTCAGGGCAACAGAGCAGTTACAACTCACTGCAATAATTGGCTGTTAATAGGCCCAATTATTTGACCAGGTGTATACACAGCCCTCTGTGTTAACACAGGAAACAAACTGCGTTTGGGTTCTGAGCATGCAGTGTACACAGGTGTTAGAACCCATGAAATGCACACTGAGGAACCCACCACCAATTATCCATCTAGCTAAATGTAGCAGCTTGCTGAAAGAAGGATCTACAGCACGCTGACCACAATAAATTCCTCAACTATCCCTTAACCAAACTCTTGGCAGCTAAACCCAGCCTGCGGTGGTTACCCTGCCTGTACATTATGCCCCTTATCAAAATTTCTGAAAACCTCACGCTGCCAGCAACAAACCTGCTTTATGGAGGGGAAGTGTGTAAAAGCTCCTGGCCGGCAGTGTATTCGCTATGACCTCTAAAAGCAATATCTGCATTAGTTCTGACAGATAACCGGGACCTGATTGATCTGTCCTTGCAATGTAAATTTACTCAAGCACCTAATCTCCCTTTTTGAAACTGGCCGAGCCGTGATTTTTAAATCAGATTCTCGGGTGTTGGAAGGTCACATTATACCTTCCTATTGCACAGGCCAGGAGAGAAGGATTAACCTAGTCCTGGGATATTAAAGCACTAAGGGAAATGTAGACATCCAAACACAATTGCTGTGTGAAAGGAGGATCACTGTGCACAAAACACCAGCTCGTAATAACTGCTTTAGACGTAATTGCAGAGTAGCAATAAAATAAGCTCTTTAACTTTTATTACGCGATGAATAGAAAAACTGCCGATCTGATAGCGTGGGGTTTATGAATAATTTGTAGCATTATTATATCACACAGGGAGCTCTGCATTCATGCATCTTTCATAAAGGCGGAAGTACTGAATATATCAAGCAGCAAATTGACAGGTATTTTCCCCCAATACAGATCTGATAGTTGACCATTCTCCTGACTTAAATCACAGTTGTCACATGGAAACAGTGACCTGTACTTGCTGATTCAAGTTAATGTGAATGAGAGATTTGGGTTATCACTGCAACTCTACTCACAACAACATACAACTTTGACCATTGCAGACTAAACCTTGACAAGATTGCCAGCATGCTGGGCAGTTCTAGAACATTTTAACAATGTTTACAAATGATCTGCTGTAATCATTCGTCCCCCCATACATTCAAGAATCATTTCACACAATTATTGAAATGGCATCACCCTAAAAGGAAAACGTGCGTGGGCCAATTTTGAATAAACTGGGCTTGGATGTTAACCTATCTTCAAAATCTTAGATTGATCTATTTATCAAAACACTGGTGCACAAAGTACCCTACCCTGCAATGAAAATAAAAAGAAGCAGATTTCAAGAGCCCTGTGGGGTGCACGACCTCCAAAGAAAAATATTTTCACATCTGTGCTTCATCTGGGAATGCAAGAGACGTGCTGTCAGTGGAGGATTTGAAAAGGTGCTGCTTCAACCATTTGGAGAGCCCGCTCTATTTACTGCACATCCCCCATCTGTGACAACACAAAGGGGATTTATCAGCCTATCCAACAAAGTTCCAACGAGGCAGATCTACATCTTAACAACAACAACAACAAAGCTGTGCAGGGCAGCTCTGAGGTGTGCAGAAACTTCTAAAAAGCACTGAAATAAATGACTAAGTCCTAAACTTCATGGCTGTAGGGGTCAGAGACCCACTGCCATTCATTTCTGGTGCAAGCAGCAAAAGTTAATGAGAAGTCTAGATGCAAGTTTTTTCTTTTTTTGGTTTCCTTTTAAATGTATTATTCTCTGTAAATCTAAATTTGAACTATGGAAGAGCTTCTCATTAATTAGTGGGATTCATCTTTCACCCAGAGCAACACTTGAATATTAGAAGGAAAAATCCATTAAAGCAGAAAATCTTCGGGGTAATTAGCAAGCTAATCAGTGTTAAACAGCCCCTACTCTAATATGGATTTAGGTGATCAGAATCATTTTGGGGTCTTTAAAGTGTTTTTCTTGGTGTAAAATAATGCAACTGCTAATATACAGCCTCCCTCCATTGTATTTTCAGCTGCAGACCATGTTACGAGGTGCAATTAAATCATGTATGGTAGGTAATTCAATTATATATGGTAGTAGAGGAGTCAGATCATATCTGGTTATTGATTTATGGTTTTTCTTTCACAAAAGTTTGATTAGAACAATACAGATTAATAACATGGTACATCAAGTAAGTGTGAGATGAAGCAAACTGTCACAACAAACTGATCTTCTGTTTTTAAAATAGGGGCTCAAGCTCAGCTTATCGATTTCTTATAAATGTGCATTGCATGCCACGCAGGCTACCATCAATGGATAAAAAATAGATAAAGCACACTTCCAGAATATAGGAAAAACAAATATTCTGAACAGTGATATTTTCAAAACTCCTGCACGATAATGATATGAACTTTTCGCCAAACATGCAACAGGAAACCAGGTTTTCTTTGTGTTTACAAACAAGGTTAAAAACAAGGAATTGGCTATAAAGGAATTAAACAAAATATTCTCTTCCGGGGAAATAAACCTCTAAGACCCTGGACACACTATAGTGGGATGCTGATCAAACTTCAGCAGGGTGCTCCATAAGTTTTCACAAACTCGACATCTTTGCAAGGAACAAAACCCCCAGTGTGGAGCCTGCCCTCCTCCCCCAACAAAAACAAGGCTGGCAGGAATTTGCAGGCAAGGATCAACCCAGCAAAGCACTGGGAATCATTAGAAACAGATGCCTATTTCTGGCCCTATTCTATAGTTACAGCCCTAGAGTGAAAAGCAATACATAAGGCATACAATGCAGTAAGAGTGCCGTCTGCTTACCAGCAATGCAGCACTGTTACAGTCTTGGAACCTTATGTTCAGAAAGCCATGGTGGGAAGTTATTCCTTTGCGGACTTTATTCCGAGAGCCACATAAACAGCATCATTTTAACACATGCATGCTACATTTCAGAGCAGTCCTGCTCTAGACTTCAAGGGCTTCCTATAGCCCAGACATACGTTTGCTTAGTGGATGAAATCTGAATGTGCTATTGTGTTCCAGAATCCCAAAACTGCAAAAGTTCTATTACACAGAGAAGTCTCATTCATGCAACTGTGACAAGAATTGGAACACAATGTTACAATGAGCCGTGAGATTGACTTTGGCCATATAGCCTTTTATCAATGTGTGATTTACACATGGCGCAGTCACAGAACTACCTGTGTAGCAGAACTGTCTGAGGACAGCTGGATATAGCATGCATTCTATACAAGGGCAGCTCTGGATACAATGTTTATGTATAGCATGCATTCTATAAGAGGACGGCTCTGGATACAATGTTTATGTACAGCATGCGTTTTATAGGACGGCTGGATACAATGTTTATGTACAGCATGCGTTTTATAAGAGGAGGACGGCTGGATACAATGTTTATGTATAGCATGCATTCTATAAGAGGATGGCTCTGGATACAATGTTTATGTATAGCATGCATTCTATAAGAGGATGGCTCTGGATACAATGTTTATGTATAGCATGCATTCTATAAGAGGATGGCTCTGGATACAATGTTTATGTATAGCATGCATTCTATAAGAGGGCAGCTCTGGATACAATGTTTACGTACAGCATGCGTTTTATAAGAGGACGGATGGATACAATGTTTATGTAAAAGCATGCATTCTATAAGAGGACAGCTCTGGGTACAATGTTTATGTATAGGATGCGTTCTATAAGAGGACGGCTGGGTACAATGTTTATGTATAAAATGCATTGTATAAGAGGATAGCTCTGGATACAATGTGTATGTATAGCATGTGTTTTATAAGAGGATGCCTCGGGATACAATGTTTATGTATAGCATGTGTTTTATAAGAGGAGGGCGGCACTGGATACAATGTTTATGTATAGCATGCATTTTATAAGAGGACGCCTCTGGATACAATGTTTATGTATAGCATGCATTCTAGAAGAGGACGGCTCTGGATACAATGTTTATGTATAGCATGCATGCTTTAATAGCAATGCCGGCCTATTCAGATACTTTTCCAGCAGTGTTTAAGCAAACACAATAACCAATGCAAACATTATTATGCAACAAACATGCTTTCCATTTATGACACTATGGACCAGTTCGGAGAACAGGGTCAACTTTATAAGAAATATAGAACACAAAGCATTGCCCTTACCTGTGTGCAATGTACACAAGAAGACGGTGAGGATTTTGAAGAGTCCCAGGGCTTTGGGTCCTGCCCCTCTCCCCATACCCATCCATCCAGCTCGGGCTTTAACCACAATCCTCGCCCTGGACAAACAGAAAGGAGAGAATGGTTCACACTCCTGCAAGAGATCAACTTGTGCAGAGCTCCCGGAGCCAGAAAGCACTGCAATGAAAGATTACACTGTGCTGCCCCCTCTCCCCTCCCGCACAACAGTAGAGCTATCAATCACTTCTGTTCCCTTCCAATGCCTGGCCAGATACTCCTTCCTTCCCAGCCCCCATGCCTGTGTGATCTCAGTGTTATCCACCCACTGCTGCGCTCTTGTTACACAGGCCTGCCATATGCAGGAGGGGCCAGGCACAGATTCCTCCTCACATCCAGCAACTGAGAAAACACTCAGGCTGCACACAGCCCAATAAGTAAAACCCCTGAAGGGAAAATAAACACAGGCTGTACCTATCCAGGGATGTTTGTCACCAGATGTCACACTTTCTGTGAGGGGAAAAATGTGTGACCTTTCATGTAACAATTAACACAACATGGCCTGCTCTGTCTTTACACAAAGTTACCAACATAAGAAAAAAAAAACATTTCCTGGTGCGCAATCTTCTAAGCTGCATGTGAAATTATACAAAGTTTGTTCATTTTTAATCTTCCATTAGTAGATTGTTAGAGGCTAAGTTCACCTTTCTGTGTTTCATACAACACCCATATTCAGGGCCCGTTCACACCAAGGCTTCTACTGTGCATTATAGCATGGCGGGCGTGTTGCATTGCCATTCATTTGAATGACACCCCAAAACACACCTCCTGGCTGCAATGTGCTTAGCCGTGCTGCACTGCATTACCATGTGTTGTGGTTAAAAAAAAAGTAGTGCATGCATCAGTATTGCGATACAGTGTGTTGCGGTTGAGCGCACTGCGTCCAGGAGGTGCGTTTGGGGTGCCGTTCAACTGAATGGCAACAAAATGGATCTGGTGCACTGCAACGCATGGTAAGTACGCTGCAAGGAAATCGCACGGAACCGTGCAATGAAAGTACGGCCTTGGTGTGAATGGGCCCTCAGGGTGTAACAGGGTCACATTGCAAACCTCACCCACTTACCTGAATTTTTTGTTTCTTATGTGAACGAGCAAAATTCTAACCACCAATGCGATTTTCATTTGGGTAAAAAATTGTACACATTGTAATGCAAATGTGCTAGATACAAAAGAAACCCGTTTAATACGGTTGGGATTCCATTCAAGTAGCTGGTCTGGGTGAAATGTTTAATGGCTTCTGAACAAAATGAGTTCACTGTATGATGGCATCATCAAATGTCCTGCAGAATGATTCCGAACAAACTTCTAACTAGCTTGGAGCACGCCAAAAGATGTCAAAGAACTGCTTTCACCATTAGCATCACCCTTCTGTACTGCCTCTGATTAAAAGGTATAACATGGAGAAGCTGGACACTGCACATTGTATTTCACTTGAATAATCTCTCAAGTATCCTGCTTGTATTTTTCTTTCATACTGTTACTACATGCTAATCATAAATCCAGATGAACAGAAAAAAAAAAAAAAAAAAGAGTACAGAAACCTAAAGTAAATTGAGTTATTGTCCCAGCATCTCACACGTTTGAGTTTGAGCTTTTTACTTAAAAATTGTCTTAACATTTTTTTGACCTATATCATAAAAGCAATGCCAAAACGTGGTCCTCCAGCTTTTGTGGAACTATAACTCCCATAGGGCATTGCAAAAGGCACTCTGACAGCTGCAGGTATGACTCCCACAGGCATGATGGGATGTGAAGTTTGGCTACCCCTGGTGCAGGATAATGGGGAATGGGGCAAAATTTTCAACCCATTTGCAAAAAAATAAAAACTTAGATTTTACCCCGCGCTAATAACGCTACCTTGCTGCAAGCACTAATAGTGAATAAGCTATCTATAGGAAGGATATACAGGTGAAACTCGATTAGAATATCGTGCAAAAGTAATTGCAGTAAGTGCTGCAAAAGGGGCCCAAACCAAGTACTGAGTACATATGCATGCTTGTACTTTTCAGAGGTCCGATATTGTTCTATGTACAATCCTTGTTTTATTGATTGCATGTAATAATCTACTTTTTTGAGGTTGTGGATTTGGGGTTCTTGGGGTTTTCATGAGCTGTAAGCCATAAGCATCACAATTATGACAAATCACGGCTTGAATTATCTTGCTTTGCATGTAATGAGTCTATCTCATATATTAGTTTCACCTTTAAGTTGCATTAGTGAAATAAATGAACTTTGCACAATATTCTAATTATTCGAGTTTCACCTGTATATAGATATATATCTATATAGATATATACACACACATATACACATATACAAATGCTGCACTAAAAATTCTCTCCCTCCCTCCCACTAATGAGTGGTCACAATTTTCTAGCAAAATTCAAAATCCATAGTGTAGGGCTGCACTGGAGGGCAGTATGGGGTATGGATAGTACACCCGTACCGGTGAAGGGGAAGGACTGTTCGTCAAAAGGTAAGTATAGGGGGAAAGGGGGGCCAGATTTGAGGGGGTAATTCCATTTTCCCAAATTTATTTGGGAAAGTGACCTTACCTGTTAATGCACATTCTGCATGTTAGAGAGTGCTGCTGGTTAACACAATATGGTACACAGTGGAATGGGGGCAGCACTCAGCGCACTCACAATGCCCTACGTATGCATTTATTATGGGTTGGGTTTAATTTGTAATTATTTTATAATATTTTTATTTTATCACTTTTTTTCCCACTTAACTTTATTGCTATCACACAGGGGATAACAATCACCTATGTGATAAGTGTTTGGAGGTGACAGGCTCTCTTTATGGAGCCTGTCCTCCAATACAGAAGATGGAGCACAGCATTTTGCTCAATCTCCTGTGCAGCCCAGCTTGTGACAGCTGAGACAGGAAGCGCTGTGAGTGCAGTATTCACCTCTCAACGATCACACAGAGCAGATAAGAGAACAGACATTCTCAGATCTGCTGCCAGCTCTCCATCCTGAAGTCATTTACAGTGGTCCCCAGAAAATCGGGGGACCCTAAAAACCACTTTATAAAAACAACCACGTGTTGATCACTTGTACAAAACAACCGGTGGCTCCCCTGCTCTACATTTAGCCCTGCTAAATGGCTAAATGTAGAGAAACAAAAAAACAAACACCTGCCCGGCATGTCCCAGGCTTCGGGCGATAGGAATCGCACACCCTGATGTTCATGTTTTTTCTTTACTTTCCGCCCACCTCACCCCTGCATTCATTATTATTTGGGCAAGAATGAGGTCAGCTCTGCCTCTGCAGCCTCCTGGGATATTCATCAGGATGGCATCAACTGAGGCTTCACACGGGGGACGGTGGGTAGACCTGCCAATGTGTCATCAGGGGGCCAGCTGCAAAAACCTGGAAGGGATAGGCAGCTCCCGATGAGGAAGATGGAGGAACGAGACCCGGCGGGCTGGTGGATCACAGCATATCAATGCTAGATTCACTGTGCATGTGAATATGTTTCTTAATCATAGCAAAGTATAACAGGTAGGAGGGAATTAGAATTTTTGTTCCACAGAGAGTAAAGTTCCTCCTTAAAACAATAGGGCAACCGCTTACTAAAATAAAAAAAATCACTAACTCCAGCTGTAATAAAGCCCATGTCCATTCAAAGTCTTTGTTTTTTAGTTTGGGTTAGAGTGCGGAAGGACTGGTACATTTTTTATGTTTGGATAGAGCAAGGCAGAGTTAAAGTCCCCTCCCCCCATTTTGGCTGTCTGTGTCTCATCACAGATAATTTTCTTCACTACCTGTGCCACAGATCCAACAGGAAGTATCTCTGATGTGAGGGCATGTCCCCTCTTAGCTGTGAACGACACAGGTATTCCGCATTGGAAGATTTCTACTCTATTATGGTTTCACTGACCATTTCACTTTGGATTTCCCATCACTTACCGCCTGGTTACAATAGAGAGGGTAAATTTCTTCATCGGTCACACAGCAATAAAAACTGGCGAGGTTTTAAAACATTCACACAAATATACATACACACACACTAATATATATATATATATATATATATATATATATAG